GGTTTCCCCAGTCTTGCTTCCGTCATACCCCCCCCCAGCTCGGTTTCCCGGCAGAGAGGGGTGCTGGGGAATTCTTTTGGACTCTTTGAGCTCAATCCCTCCCCGCCGGGGTCAGGGCCCGGAGCGGGGCAGCTCGCTGGGTCCAGCCCAGGTGAGCGTTTCGGACCACAAGCTTCAGGGGTGGCGGGAAGGGCGAGGGGGGGGAATCAGCTGCATCGTGTCTAGGAGAGGTCCTGAGGGTGTCAGGGCCCGATCCTGTGACATGCAGGGAGGGCGCAGGGCACCCTGGGTGCTCCCAGCACCCAGCCCTTTGTGCTCCTGCAGGGATGGAGCCTGAGGGAAAGCTTCACCTGCTCCACAAAATGGCCTGATCCAAGCCTACGGCCCCATCTGACATGTCCTACCATACCCATCCTGCTTCCAAAGCACCACTGTGTTTCTGCTTCCCCAGAACCACGTGCCCTGAGATCCCAGGACTCCATGCCCTGGCACCTCAGGACCCTATGCTCAGGCTGCTCCCCTACTCTCAGACTGGTCCTTCTGCTCCTGGTGCTTCACATGGGGTTGGTGGTAGGAAGGACGTGCCTGACCTGGGCGCTGGTCATGGCAGGGATGGCATCTTTGGTGCTGCTGGACTGATAGGATCCTCTTTGGGAGAGATCCTCTCCCTGGTCACAGCTCACTGCTGCGGGTGGAGGGGGGCTGGTGGTGCTGGGCTCTGGGGATGGGTGGTGGTCACCCTGTTGAGGGTGGACTTTAATTCTGCAACCGCACTTTGGTCTCAGGAGGGAGGTAAGTCATGAGGTGGCAGATTTGGATGTCTGGCAAGTGGCAGTACGGTGAGGATCTGCTCTACAACACCTGAGCTTGTCTGAAGCTCTCGACTAATGGATGCCCAGCCCCGACCCCCATCTAAGGAGCGGTTGAACTACCAGCCCTGGGCCTGAGTCTCAGCCCCCTTTGACTCCTGACTGCCCACCATTCCCAGAAGCTCAGCAAAGGCATGGCACTACGTAAAGATAAATGCTACAGGAAGAGGGGGAACACCCAAGGCACCATTTCCTTCTCCCCCCTTTAACAGCGGAGCGCGATGCCCAAAGCCAGCAGGAGGGTCCCCAGGTGGACCTGGGGCACGGCTCCTCCAGCCCTGCTCTTTGACGCCCTCGGCATGTGGTAAACAATCACCAGCTTTTCTCCGGCACCGGAGGGATCCCTTTCATCCCCCTTGTAGCAGCTCCGATCTCCGAGGTGGCTAGCTTGGGGATCATCTCGGAGAAGGTCTTCAGCTGGATTCTCTGACCCAGCCAAGGCCACGTTGACTGAGACATCCCGCGTGCCCACGTCATTGACAGCCAGGCAGGTGTAGATGCCTTCATCCTCCTTGCTGAAGTGGGGGATGGCCATGGTGCCGTTCTTGAAGACCAAGAAATGCTCTTGGCTCTGCTTGACGTTTCCATCCCGTGCCACGTTGGGCCCGCTGATCTCGACACGGCGGCTGGAGGTCTGGATCTTCCACCTGATCTCTGGCATAGGGCTGCCCGCCACGCTGCAGTGCAGAGTCAGCGTGAGGCCATTGTACGTGACGGTGTTGTCCAGGTTGGAGAGGTAGGTGAGCTGCACGGAGGGGGCAACACAGTGGTGGTCGGGAATGTCTGTCACCGCCCTGCCCTTCAGCCTCCTGGGAGCCACGCACAGGATAGACCCTCCCTTGGTGATGGAGACGGAGGTGTTCTCAGTCCACTTCTTCAGCCAGAAGACCTTGCAGGAGCAGTTGAAGGGGTTGTTGAAGATCTGAAGCTGGGAGAGGGAGGGCAGGTTGTCAAAGGTGCCCTCAGCCAGGGTGGTCAACTCGTTGTCGTTGAGCCAGAGGGAGCGCAGGTCCTTCAAGGAGCGGAAAGCATCCCGGGGCAGCCCGGCCAGGCGGTTGTTGTTCATCTTCAGGATCTGCAGACCACTGAGGTTACGGAGGTCCTGCCAGGGGAAATCCGCAATCTTGTTGTGGCTCAGGTCCAGGTTCTTCAGGTGCACCAACAAGGCGAAAGCCCCTGGTTCCACCGCTCCGATCTGGTTGTAGCCCAACCACAGCGACTGCACTTCGGGAACCTGGACAAAGGAGTCCTGTCCCAACCAGCCGATCCGGTGAGGATGGTCACATTGGTGGACAATCCCTCGGGGACCTCCTGGAGATCTTTGTAGGCGCACTCGGCCAACAGCCGCCCATTCTTCTTGATGGAACAGGAGCAGGCGGTGGGACAAGCCAGGCAGGGCCCCAGGAGCACGACCAGCCCCAGGCAGCAGAGCAGGGGCCTCATCCTTCCTCCTGGGAACAGAGATGGAGAGGGGGGGATGAAGGGGCTGGGTCTGGCCGAGATGAGGAACTGCTTTTCCTCACTGAACGCTGAGCGGAAGCAGCAGCCGAGCGCCGTGTCCGTGTGATTATCCTCAGAACTTCAGCTGGAAAAGGCTGTTTGAGATATTCCCTAATCCGAAGGCGGCATTTCCTCGCCAACTACCTCCGTGAGTGGAGAACTTCCCCCTAAACCCTTTCCTTCCCCCGCTACAAAACGCCTCTTTTGGATCTTTGATGATTCCCCTGCCCCGGGATGCTGTTCCCCCCAGGTTTGGGGATAAAGAGTGGGAGCTGGGGGGCCGGCGTCCTCCCTGCGGAGGTTGGAATGAAGGGAAACGGAGCAACCACAGCTCTTTCACAACCAGCTTTTCCCCTAAACCATCAGGGTTGTTGAGATTTTTCAGACCTCAAACCAACCCCCTGTCTCCATATTTTTTTCCACGTCATGGAAAAAAAAAACAACACAAAAAACCAGCTTTTATAGTGCTTTTTCTCAGCAAGAGAGCGGGGGGTCCCAGCTCCTGGAAGTCTTTAGAGGGAAATATTTCTGAGCTAACTCCTTATTCCCCTTCTTGCCTCGCAGAGGGGACCCTGCCCGCTCTGTTTTGGGGGGGCTGGAAGCTG